TCATCTGAAAGCAGAAGAGGAGCAAGGCAGCACAGCTCTTGGCAGCTGTCGGTCCACTTCTGCCCAGATCGCAGGCACACGGCTACAGGAGATACAAGGAGCTGGGACACAGACAAAACCGAGACACCAGGACAGAACTGCAGTCTCTGCCACAACTGTAGCAGGCAGGCTGGCATTCTCAAGGTGATCCCTTTATGTATGCCTTTGTCGTCCACTTGAGCTGATGAGACCTCACATCATCCAGCAAGCCCCAGAGACCCCCACAGACCCACAAAAGTGGCCATCTGGGGTCTGCCTCAACCCCTATCACCCATGGAGTGCCCTGGCCCTTTGGTTGCAGGGACTCAGAAAAGCAAAACAAACTGGGAGGGCGGAGTTCTTTTTCGTTTTTTATTATAGAGGGGGAGGGGGAGGGGGAGAGAGAGAAACATTGATCAGTTGCCTCTCACATGTGCCCCAACTGGGGACCCAACCTGCAACCTAGGCATGTGCCCTGACCGGGAATCAAACCCGCGACCTTTCAGTCTGGCCAGGGCTGGAGGGTTTCTTGCTGAGCAAATTCCAACCCCAGATTTCTAGTCTAGGATACCAGGGGAAGCCAAAGTCACCTGAGTCCCAGGGACCTCTGGCCTGGTCTCACAAAGCAGCAGACAAGACTGAGGAGTGAGCCAAGACCGGTACCTGGAGGGAAGGCAAGACTGGAAGGCAGGTCCAAGGGTGGCCACAAGCTGTCTGGGATGAGGGGAGGAAGGTTCCAAAAGGCTGGCCTAAGGCTACATCACCAACCAGGGCAGCTGATTTCTGCTGCTTCACCTGAGTGACACCCCATTCCTGCTGCTGTTCAGCTCACCTCTGGGGACCAGCACAACACTCGCAGCATAAGCTGAACAGGCCCTCTGGGACTCCCACCCCCACACATATGGGTCAGCGTGAAGGTGAGTGCCGCCTACATTCATCTAGAGCCTTCCTGCTGCACTGAGGGACAGGGCTTCTATAGAGAGGGGGACAGACGTTCCTAGGTAGGCAGCCTGGGCCCCATCTGGACCCAGAGAGGCCACACTCCATCCACTCCTACATTACAGAGACAGCCCATAGGTGTGGAGAGGTACCCCCACCACCAAAGTTAGAGTTCAGCAGGTCACCCCACCCCACAGCTGAGACCCACAGGCCAAGTGTGCGATGTTCTAGCCTCCGGACACAAGACTCCATTCCCTGAATCCTGGCTCAGGCCTCACTCCAAACCCCAGAATGTTCAAGCTCCTGAAGCCCATTTCCCTTCCCCAATGGGAGGGCAGGGCACTCTGGGGACCCTGCATGAGAGGGCTCAGGGTGGGTGGGCCTGGAGGCTGCCATAGAAGGGACAACAAGGCGGAGGTCCAGGCCCCCCCAAGAAAGTCAGGCAGCCGGGAGACAAGACAATGCCTGGCCCTGGGGTGCCATCCCACCTGATGGGCCAATGCGGTCTGGGCTTCAAGCAGGCAGAGGAAGGGGTTGAAGCTGTGGGATCGGGCCAGAGGAGCAGGGCCCTGCCTTCCTTCCTCACCATACGTTGCTACCCAGGCCCCACTCCTGGGGCCTGGGTGCTGGCTTCAGATGCCTCTCAGGTCAGAAAAGTTCCAAGTTGACTGGCTATATAAGGCACAAGGGAAGGGGAGAGGGCTGGGGGACAGGCCCCAACAGTTCAGCCCCAGTCAACACGACTGCATGAGCTGAGGGTTTCCCAGTGCTGCAGCACACTATTCACCTGCTCTGCATCCAGCTCTCACCAGGCCCCATCTTGTTGCCTGTGACTGCCCAAAGGTGGGCAGCTCAGAGGTCACTATCTTTGACTTCCTTGGGGCAGAAACAAACAGGGGCTTTGGGCATTAAAACTAGCACAGGCTCCAAAACCCACTGCTCAGCCAACCTGGCCCGGAAGCCCCTCCAAGGGGCAGCCTGCCACACCTCCTGAGAGAGTCCAGAGTTGCCTGCTGCACACGTGGGTGGGAGGGGGACACCTAGGAGGTGGCTCTGGACCTAACGCCCCACACCTTGGAGACACTAACTTGGGAGGCCTCACTACAACTCCAGATCCTCATTGGCTGGCTGGCCCTTTCAGACCCAGCCTAGCCACCCAGCACCAATTGGGCTCCTTTACGGGCTGCAGGCACCCACCCCCACAGATACGAGCCGGTTTTGGGGACCTGCCTCCTCTTCCAAGGTCTCCCCCAAGGTCATTAAGTTATCACAACCTCCCTGACCCTACCCAAACCTGTCCTCCACCTGGCTGGGCCACATGTGCTCTTGGCACAGAGACTGCAAGCAATGAATAGAAGGGCTTCCTGACATGGCTTACAAGGAGTTGCAATGCCTGCTCAAAACCCCTGGGTAGCCCGCCATGACTTCCAGTGCAACCCTTGCTATCTCTGACCCTTTTGGTGTGCGGAATCACCAGCCTTCAAGGGCAGGCACTGTAGAGCTTATCAGGCCCACAGAGGAAGAAGGCAGAGGGAACATTCTACTTTGACATGAGTACACTCTCAAAGTGAGAACAGCCCCAAACTGTCAACAGGTGGCCCTCAGCACTGTGAGGAAAGGTAGAGGGGCTCAGGACACTGGCCAGAGCCCACAGGATACCTATGGCTGGCTGCCAAATGCCCTGTCCACAGGAGCCCTGCCCCACTCCCTCTATCAAATCTGGACCAAAGACCTCCTGAGGTCCCCAAAAGCCCCTGCTCCCACCCCTCAGTCCCCAAGACTGCAACAGGTTTGCACGGGGGGCTGAGGGCGTCAGAGAGGAAGGCCATGAGCCTCCAGAGTTTTTTCTTACGTTTCTTCCAAACTCATTCTGCTAATCCCCAAAATGGTAAAAGCCAAGATGTTTAAATGTTGAAGCTCACCAGATGATAACAAGTCAATAATATTTAGAAACAAATTTGATTAAATTCATAAGTGAATAAATCAGCTTTCAGATTTCCCATAAAATGTGTTACACAATACAACATATAGATGATGCATTATAGAATTGTACACCTGAAGCCTATATAATTTTATTAACCAGTGTCACCCCAATAAACTCAATAAAAGGTGCTAATTAAAAAAAAAGATAAACAGTGTTAAAAATGTATATGCATACCAAATTATATTACTTTGGAGCATTAAAAAAAGCAGAGGAGGCTGTCAGACCAGCTGGTTATTTCCCCACCCTCCTCTCTTCATGGTAAGGACACTGGCCTGTGCTCTCACAACTAGAGTGTCAGTGCTGCCCTGGGCAAATGCTTTGGATTCAGGGCCTTGCAGGCACCCACTGATAGTTGGCCCAGGATATATAGGGCTCCAACATGCTGCCAGAGTCTTCTCACAGACATCCATGTGCTGCAGGCCTGGACCACCAAGGCCACTCCATCCCCAGTGTCGACCCTCTGGGCTTCTTCACTGCTGCAGACCCAAGGCTTCCCTTCTGTTCCACTTACTCCTCCATGCCTGGCCTTGGCAGATGTGATAGTGATAGAGAATTTAACTTGCTCTAAAAGTCTCACCATCCCTGCCATCAAATCTAAATCCAAAGGGAGGACCCAAACCCAGACTGACTTAGCCTGCTGACCACCACTCCCCAACAAGTTGGTACCTCAATGGAGGAGAACCTGGGGGCAGCCTACTCTTCCCAGGCCTCATTTGTCCCAGACTCCTCAGATACCCCTCCCCACAGGGTGAGGTGTTAGGGGCACACTTGACATCCCTGGACTGGCAAAAGGGACTGGAAGAGGGAAAGGAGCCACCACCTTTGGGGGGGAACACCAAAAGGAACAGAGAGCAATGACTTTGCAGAGGACACCCACAGCACCATCCATCCGTCTGGAGTCACCAAGCCTGTCCTTTCCACTGACACCTAATCTGTCTCCAAATCGCATTGGTTCCTTTCCCAAAATAGAGCACCTTGGATCTCTTCCCTTCTCTTCCTTTGCTGCACCTACTTACACAGACAACTTCTGGGGTTGGATGTACATTCCTTCCTCCCACTATAATCCTGAAGCAAGGGCTGCTTGCCTGCCACGGAGGGGGGCAGGTACTGGAGGAGGTGGATATAGGGGAGAGGTGGTATGCAGTAGGCACAGAGGTGAACAAAACCCAAAATCATGGCCCTCTCATCGCTGAGTTTTGCTATGACAGCCTGCTGGCTGGGCCGGGTTCACCCCTACTTCTCTCACCCCTACTTCTGCCTTTTCCAGAAGGTTCTGACAGTGCCTTCCAGCCTACACCGTCCACCGGGGGTAGGGGAGAGGGATTAAGACTTGGTCGGTATCTTGTACTTCGTCCATGTCCCCCGTCCCCCCGCCCCCCCGCCAGCACCTCTGAACTCCACCTTTCTAGCCCCAGCCTACAACTCCCTTCGCTTTTTCCAAGGCGCCTCCGCGCCTTTGCATTTAAAGTTCCTTCGGCCGGCGCGCCCTTCCATTCGGTTCTGAACTGCAGTGTCCCATCCTCAGAAACGCCTTTTCTTCTGCACCTGTTTTCTACCTTGCCTTTCGCTCCCCGTTCTGGACGCAGTGCCCCGTCCTGTCCGCTGGGCCGAGTTCCGCCAGTGCAGAAGCCGCGTCTACACGGTCAACCCCTACACCACGCGCGATTTTTCTTTTTTTAATCCTCACCGGAGGATACGTTCACTGCTTCTAGAGAAAGGAAAAGGAGGAAGGGAGGAGGGAGAGTGGAGGGAGGCGGGTGAGTGGAGGGAGGCGGGAGAGGGAGGCTGGGGGAGACAGGTCTTGGGCCGCATTAACCCCCTCGGCGCTGGCCCACCACCTGTCCTTGCGGTGCGGCCCTTCGACCCCAACAAGCAGCCTATTTGTAGACCCCATGAAGCGTGCAGCCAGCCCGGGGCAGCCCGAGACACCACACCAGAGAGGGTGTCAGAGAAGTGACTTCCACTACCGCTCGCCACAAACTGCCCTGGCCCTTTAACACTCTGAGCGCTCGCGCCCATTGGCTGAGGCGCTTACGTCATCGCTGCTCGCCGAACTGCGGCGTCTTCCCGCTCCTTAACCCTGACGACTGAGCGGCGCCGACCTCAGCGACCGAGGAGAGCGGGAGGAGGTCGCGGTGGCGGGAAGATGTAAGTGGGGGAATCCGACCCCATCCGAGCTTCAGGGGGCACACCCAGGGATCGGCGGGGCGCATCGTAGAGCCAGCGTGCTCTCCAGCCCTGCGGTGAGGACGCTGGCCTGGTGGTGCAGCGCGGGAACTAAGAAGAAAGAGTGTGGCCCGGGGTGGGCGAGTGGGAGGATTTGAGGCCGCGGCCCGGAAGTAGTCAGGGCTGCGGCGGGCGGAAGGGCGGCCTCGCTTCGTCCGCTCTGCGGCTGGTCCAGCTAGGCCCGTGGGACTTAGAGCAGCCGTGAACGCGGCCCCTTCCTTCAGGACCCTCTCGCTGGGCTGGAGACCCAGGCCTGCAACGCTGGGCCCAGCCCTGGAAGCCCCCACGGTCCGGCGCCTGGACTGGGGAGTTGTGAGTGGAGGGGGACGGCGAGGTTGCGTGCGGGGCCCGTGCCCCTGTGGGTGCAGAGTTGCTTTGTGGGATATCCTGGAAGACCGACTAATCCTCCCTTCGGGGCCATTAATTCAAAGCATTAACTTCACGAACGTTTACCGGGCTTCTGTGTGCAGTTCTCGGTGCTAGCTAGCCCTTGGGTATACGACCACTGAGAGATCGTGGAGCTCAGTTTGACGGGTTACCCCAGAAGGGAAGGTTAAAGGCAATGGAGGAGAGACGTGGCTTTTTCTATCTTTCTTATTTTTGCATGAATTGTGCCTAAAATGTGCTTTTAAATGGGGAGGTGCTCTGAAGATTTGAGCTGAACGCCATCTACTCGAGATTTAACTAATTGTTTTCTCCTCTCTCTGGCTGTTGGACGCGCACTTTCCGGAGGATGGGGGAGGTAACCAAGGTCCTGTGCTGTTACCTGAACTTGTGTGAGCAGAGAACCTCAACCTTTGCTTTTTAGCATTCGGCCACACCCAACAAAGCGTTTGTTTACTATGTGATTTTTAATTTTTAGTGTTGAAGAATAACTGGTGGTGCTTGTTTTTACAAAGTACACTCAGGCAGATCTTTAGAACCGGGGTGGGGTCCAAGAATCTGCACTCTAGGTCCACGCTGTTCAATAAGGTAACCATTGGCCGCATAGGGCTATTTAGCAGTTGAAAAATACCCAGTCCATATTGAGGTGTTTTAAAGACAGTGCGGGAGAGGTAATTATTTTACTAGTAAGTTTTATACTGGTTGTTGAAAAGGTAATACTTGGGATGTAGTGGATTAAATGCATTACTAAAAGCTAACTTCACTGTTAACTTCTACTTTCCATAATGTGGCTAATAGAAAATTGTAGGATATGTTTGGAGCTCGCACTCTTAATTGGACAGAGTTATTGTTCAATTAATTACAATTAATTGGACAGAGTTAATGTCCAAATTATTCTCCTAGTGATCCTAATGGCAGCTGTCCAGGAACCACTTGTTGAGCATTCAGGGATATGAGCCTGGGTACAGGGGTATTTGAGAAAAGAGCCTCTGAATATGGAGAAACATCCTTTTCTTCTAACATGAGCACACATATACTGAGCCTTAACTAGGTGCCAAGTCTCTTTCATGGGTTAATTTGATTGATGTCCCTGATAACTATAAGGGGTAGGACTGTAATTGTCACCATAATACCGGTGAGAAATTGAGGTTCAGAAAGGTTAAGTGGCTTATCCAAGGTCATAACAGCAAAGCCAACTCAGTCAAACTGACTCCAGAGTCTTAACCATAATCAGTGATTGTCCAAGGATGCTAACCTTATCCAGTATTGCCAGATCAGTGTCTGTAATACCTTGTTGTTTTAAGGCAAAACATCTTCAAGTATTTTATAGCCCTGAAAAACAGGAGCAAGGGTGATATCCTGCCCTCTTCCACTCTGATTTGATTGTCCAAGGCCAAGCAGTCTTTCTTGAACCAGGACATTATTTGCATTTTGGGCACTCCTACACACCCAGAAACAGAATTCCAACTGATGTGCTGTGTCCAGGTTACTTACAGGCTATTAAAAAAGGTGGGACAGAAGTAATTAACATCCTGACAGCTTTGCTTACAATTCAAGCAAATTATATAAAAGCTCACTGAAATTACTTAGGCAGCAGTCCCCAGGTAATAGGGTACATAGTGAATTAGTTGTTTGTTTTTGAGTAGTGTTTTCTGATGACCACTTACTGAGTACATGCTGCAGTCCAAGCACTTTGCTAAACCATTAACTGTGGTATCTCATCCAATTCCAATGTCTACTTCCCACCCTATCCCCCAGCATTTTATTTTTGAAAGAATATAAAGATACTGAAAAGTTGAAAGAATTGTACAGTGAATACTCACATTACAACCACCTAGATTTTATAAGTCACATTTCTGCCATATTGGCTGTATCTTGTGTTTAGCCCCACACATCAATCTTATTTTTTTCTTGCATTTCAAAGTAATTTGCCTGTTTTGGTATACTTCCCCATAACACTTCCATATGCATTTCATTAACTAAAGTGTAATATTTACAATGACTACTTTTGAACATTTTGCTGCTTTTTAAATGTTTATATGAGATATTTTTATCTGTTCATTGTTGGGTAGTAAACGTTTGATGCTGGTACCAGACACTTTTGAAATAGTTTTTGCTTCTCGTCATATATAGTCAAAGTATCCTACAAGAAAATTACAGCAATAGAGCAAGATCTAGACCTATCAGGAGAGCCGCATTCATTTTGGTTTCTCTCTGTTCTCCATGCAAGTGTGCTGTAGTATTTCTAAGGGAACATAGAGAGCTCATCATCAAATTTGAGTGAAAAATCGTTATTGTACCACCGGTAAAATAACAATGACAAAGCACTACCATCATTTCCTTAAGAAAAAGGCAAGCTGAGGTGACGATTCTACTGTGTGTCCTGTGGAAATGATATCCTCCCTGAGGAAATGGTGAAGATCCCCGCGTGATCCTGGCTTTGTGAACACTCGCTCGCTGCTGTGATCCTTGTCACCGTCTCGTGTGCTCAGCTTTTGCCTACAAAATAGCTTTGTTGCCTTGCCAATTTGTTCATTCTGTAAATCCTTTTATCTTGTTATTAGGCTGCACTTTGGCGTAAATTGCAATCGATTAGGGATCGTTTCTCAGACTCAAGTTAGAAGTGAGAGTTCAGATAAGTGAGGCCACCATTGCTGCTTTGAACACCTCAGAAGGGGAGAATGGATTTATCAGGAGTGAAAAAGAAGAGCTTGCTAGGAGTCAAAGAAAATAATAAAAAGTCCAGCACTAGGTAATCCTTCTGTCAGATTCTTCTAGTGCTACTTTGGGGGTGCTTGTTGCTAGGGACTCTCAGAAAGGGGAAGATTGGAAATGTCCTAAGCCACAGATCATTTTGCTCTGTGATGGCCTGGGATCTCTGTAGCCACTTGAATCCCTTTTTTGGGTTGTGCTGTAGTTTCAGGGTTCAGTCAAGGGGTCATGTGATCTCATACTCTTCCTTACCATCCAGGGCTCCTTCTCCTACCAAACGCAAAGACCGCTCTGATGAGAAGTCCAAGGATCGCTCTAAAGATAAAGGGGTCACCAAGGAGTCGAGCGAGAAGGATCGTGGCAGGGATAAAACTCGCAAGAGGCGCAGCGCTTCCAGTGGTAGCAGCAGCACCAGGTGGGGCTTGCAGGGTAGAGTGTTGAGAGGCCTCACATCCCTCCTAAAGAGCCCAGAGAGTGCTCTGTCTTAAATTATTTATAAAGAAAACAGACTCTCAAATTGTTAATCAGGATTCTAAGTGTGGCAGACTGGTTTGGAGTTTGCTCTGGTTATATATAGAAGTTGGTGTTTGTGTTTTTTCTTTCCTTGAGATGTTAAAGGAATGGGACATCTTGGGGTATAATTTTCTCTAAAATATTTTTTATTCAGAATTGTATTTGGATTGCCCTAGCCCACAACTTGTTTGTTCTCCCATTGAAAACCAGTCTCGATCAGTCAGTCAGTCAGTAGTCGCCTTTCAAACCAAGTTGGTGGCTCTGACTTGCCAGGCTCCTCTTTACCTTTCAGTAGGCAATGCTTCTGTGTTGGTAGGAAGCAGCTCATTCTTCCTTTCCTGTCATTGCATGATATTAATGTTGTTTTCCTTCCCCACCTAGAGCTTTGGCTTAAGGGTAAGGTGGTAAATGTTCTCCCCACTGGGGAAAGTAGTGCCGCTCAGAAATATGAGGACAGCTGTTTACTCTCTTGGGAGCACATGCAGGCTTGTCTGCACTGTGAAGAAATGCTGCTCCCACCTGTTGTTGTCTGTGACCACTTCCATCTCACCCCCCAAGGTCTCGGTCCAGCTCTACCTCCAGCTCGGGCTCCAGCACCAGCACTGGCTCAAGCAGCGGCTCTAGCTCCTCGTCTGCATCAAGTCGCTCGGGAAGTTCCAGCACATCCCGCAGCTCTAGCTCCAGCAGCTCCTCCGGCTCTCCAAGTCCTTCTCGGCGCAGACATGATAACAGGCGACGTTCCCGCTCCAAGTGAGCTCCCCTCCAGCACTGTTTCTCACCAGAACTTGTGAATTATCTGTGAACTTCAGTTTGCAAACTAGCGCTGTAAAGTTGCTGTAGTTATAAAAGTAGATCAAAAAAGGAATCTTTCTGTCCTGATAGTATTTCTGAGTCAGGGATGATATGCATGAACCAGTGGGAAAGGCTTCCTTATAAAAAAAAAATCTCATACTAGCAGTTAATATCCCCACTTTTAAAAAAACTGATGTGACAGAAGTTGATTGTTTTTGGTGTGTGTTTGTTTGCATCAGATCCAAACCACCCAAAAGAGATGAAAAGGAAAGGAAAAGGCGGAGCCCTTCCCCTAAACCCACCAAAGTACACATTGGGAGGCTTACCAGGAATGTGACCAAGGTGAGGAATCCCAAATCTGTCCAGTGGACCAGGGGGTGGCATCTTTGGATGTAGCTTTTCAGAGGACTTAAGTGATGGCACATGATTGTAGTAGCATGCTGATGAATTCCTTTTAATGGAATATATACATGTGTGTCTAGATATACCCCCAAATGCCAACATTGTAGTTGTTATTAGTGAATTCTCTGAACTCTTACACAAGTGATTTGTGCCTAAGCATTAGAGTGACCCTTCTTTCCCTTTAGGATCACATCATGGAGATATTCTCCACGTATGGGAAAATTAAAATGATTGACATGCCTGTAGAGAGGATGCACCCCCATCTATCTAAAGGTTATGCATATGTGGAGTTTGAGAATCCAGATGAAGCCGAGAAGGCGCTGAAGCACATGGATGGAGGTGGGTGGCCCTGCCAGCACTCCTCTACACTCCCTTTGTCCCCTGTCGAAGATCAGCTACCAACCACATGTAGGGACCTTTAGAACGGATTTCCGACCTGGCTACACATCAGAATTTCCTTGGGGCTCATTCAGGATTTTGATTCTTACTCAGTGGGTGTGTGTTTGCCAAAAACATGTTTTGTGAAACATCATTCTTGGAAAAACATTTAGCACATATGAATATTAGCATTTAAAGACTTTTTCGATCTGTTAAAAATTTAAAATTTAAGGATTGGACTTTTTAAACAGGATATATTGTGAATGTAATGGAGCCATTTGACTTTTATATGGGAATGTTTAATCCTCTCCTGGAGTCATTGTCTGTTTTTGCTGACATTTCAGCATTTTTAGGATTACTTTGCTGAATTCACAAATTTTACCCATTTCCTAAAAGCTCTTTATGGTGACATTTGTAGCTGTTTGGTATTGGGCAGAATGGTTTGAATGTTTGTGAATAGTTTCAGATGGCTCCTTTTTTTTTAAAAAAAAAATATTGTAAGCAGTATTTTACATTCGTAGTTATTTTAATTTTTTACTTACTGATTATTGATTATTTTAGAGAAACATTACTTATGCATTCACTGGTTTCTTTTTTCTTTTTTTTTTAATTGATTTGAGAGAAACATCAATTTATTTTACTTATTTATGTATTCATTCATTGCTTCTTGTATGTGCCCTGACTGGGGCGTCAAACCCACAACCTTGGCATATCAAGACAATGCTCTAACCCTGTGAACCCGGCCAGGGTCAGGTGGCCAGTTTTAATTTTGTGTTTAAGTCAGCATTTGAAAGAACGTGTAAGTTGTTTTTGCCCCAGCTCACTGCTGCTATAGTCCAGGCACCTGGGGCCAAGAGCCAGGGCTGCCCACAACACTGTGTGGGCTGCCAGGCTGAGTGGGGAGAATAGAATTTGAGCACCCCAGGGCCTCGGCAGCCTCCAGGGCCTCGTTATACACTTGATAGATAAATGGCCTAAAACTTTTCTGGATAATTGCCCTTGAGCCTTGGTAGTTTAGATACTAGAAAAATTTCCTTAATGTTTAGCTAACTCTGTTTCAGTCTATTAATATCCCTCTGGGAGTTTAGAATAAACTATAATTCATCACTATGAAATACATCAGCTTTTGGCTCTGTGAATCACATTTTTGTATTAGGTAGTAGAGATTATCAGTCGTGTTTCACAGAGTCTGAGCACTTGCTAAAAATTTAGGAGACTTGGACACATTCAAGATGTGCCTGATTATAAACATTCCATATCTTCTCAAAATTCTGGTGGACTTGTGAGTGTCCACATATGGTGCTGTGCACCGTCAAATGGAGCAACTCCACATTGTCTCCAGAAGGAAAGTGAAAAGGCCTGACCTTTATTAGCAGCTGGCCAGAGGGTAGATTCACCTCTGTTATTCTGTAGCCAGTGCCATGAATTCCCTAACTGGGGCAGTGATCCAAGGCCAGCTTAGGCTGCAAATACTTAAGCCTTGTGAGTCTCTTCTGAACATGTGCCCTCATGCCTCAGTTATCCCCTCAGCACCTTTGGAATTTCCTTGAACATAGGAGCTGAGACGATAAAAGAGCCCTCTGCCCTTTACGGACATACCGGGGTCTGTGCTTGGTCCCCAGAGCAATCCCAAACTGAAGTTGGGGGTGTATGCTTCCTTGGGGTTCCTGGGTCTGTGTCTCAGTTTTCTTTGGTCTTCTCTCACTGAAGCCCTGCAGGCTTCTCTGGCTTTTTTCCTGAGCTGCCTCTTTGGGACACTTCCACACTTGTAAGACAAATTTGACACCTCCTGAACCTCATTTCATTTTGTCCCTCCGCCTCTGAGGTGTTCTTCCTGAATACCATGTCTCAGGAGATGATAACTGATCCAAAACCTGGTGCTGATCGTCCTCCCTTCCCCAGCTTCCCATCCAGTCTGTCGCCTAGTTCTGGTGATTTGACATCCCATCCCTTGAGGTGGGTTTTGCCCTACCAGTTTTTGTGAAACCCCCTAGTGGATCTCTCTTCTCTTGCCTGTCTTTCATTGTTCTTGAGAAGGAAGCTCAAGTGCTAGTGCCACAGTCCTGCTCAGGGCCAGGGCACAAATCACTTCAGCAGATACCAGCATGTTCTTTGGGTGTTGACTTGGATGGCACTTTTCTCTGAGAGTCCATTCCAGTGCACCAAGGTCGAGGTGACTTGATCTTTTTTAACAGGACAAATTGATGGCCAGGAAATCACTGCCACAGCTGTGCTCGCTCCCTGGCCTAGGCCACCCCCCAGGCGATTCAGCCCTCCCAGGAGAATGTTGCCACCACCTCCCATGTGGCGCCGGTCACCCCCACGGATGAGGAGAAGGTGAGTCAGTTTGGAGTCTCACAGGGAAATTACTGATTGGGATCAATGTGGGTTTGTTTTATTTACAACACAATGTGACAATGATAGCTTTGGGATCTTCGGTTAGCCGCCATGTGCTCACATATGCACACACACCATGATGGCAGTGTTGGCATGGGGGGCCTTTGAAGCTCATGTTCATTACGGCTTGGGAAAGGAAGAGAAGGGCAACTGCTGGAGTAAGGGACCAGCAGAAGATGTGGCCCTGCAGGTTATACCAGAACTCCAGAACATGTTTCCTTTCCAAGGGCTCTGTCAGCCATCCAGAGGGAGCTATCCTGACACTGTTAAACCAGGAATTGTTCAGGAAGAAGCCAGCCTTAACCCTGCAATCCAAGATGCAGAGCTGCTTCCACGGCGTGTACTTAAGTGTCTGATGTGGTTTTTCCTCTTCCCACAGGTCACGCTCCCCACGGCGCAGGTCCCCCGTGCGTCGGCGATCCCGTTCCCCTGGCCGCCGCCGCCACAGGAGCCGCTCCAGCTCCAATTCCTCCCGATAAGCAAGCCACTGAAGCTCTGCCCCGTAACTTATATCCCATCCAGCTCAGTTCTGTCACTTTTCCAGCTGAAGGAGAGTCTAGGAAACAAATCCTCACTCGGGGGCAGGCTTCAAAGGCAGCATTGAGACGTTTCCTCTGAAGGCCAAGTTCAGCTGTAGAACTGTTGGTTTGCAGTTGTGCCTATGAAGATGCCCTCCAGGTTCCTGTCTAGAAAGCTCCCATGTTTCCAGTCCCTGAGAGTCGGTTCCAGCTGGCAGTGTCAACCCAACCTGGGAGCACAGTTTTCCATTCCGCCAATGACCTGGGGCCAGTCTAGGACCCTGAGGATCCTTCAGGAAAGGGCATGCTTTTGTACAGCTGCCATTCCTATTAACCTGGCCCTGCTCCCCTGCCTGAGTCCTGACCTCTAGGGTCAAATATCCCATTAGTTGCTGTAAATGGTTCTGTTTTCACATGTACTCAACGCACATACACCTACACCCCACATCTTTCTCTGAAATTGGTGGGCAAGTTGAGAGCTAGCTCTGCAGGGTCATCACACCCCATCGCCACCCTCTTCATGGTGGCCTTTGGGGTTACCTTGGGAACATGTACATTGCTTTTTGGCTTTTATTGTACAGTCAGTACTATAAATTTTCTGTTTTGAGGTTTTTTGTAACTTTGTAGCATTTTGTTGTGTAGAGTAAAAGGATTGTGTTGAATAAACTTAGGATTAGAATACAGATTGAGTGTTGGGTTTGCTGCCTCCTTCCTGTCCCTTGGCCCTAAAGATAATATAGTTGTGTGGGAATTAATATGGCTGCCTAAGAGCTGGGTTTCAGTTTCATGTTCAAAGTCACGCCTCCAAAATCAAGAGAACATGGGTCAAATACACCCAATTGTAGAGTTGCTCCTGCATGCGGACAAATAGAAGATGTTTTATCACCTTTATTTTTCCTCCTCAAAAATTAGTTTGTGCCATGAGGAAGACTGGGAAACACTTAAGGTGTTAAAAGAACAAAAGTTTAAATCAACTGACATTGTGCTTGGTGGTTACTGTGCTCAGTGTTCAAAACAAGAAAGAACAGGTGCTATCAGGCAGTACAAAGGTTTGCTGCCTATGCCTCTACTTCATTCCCCCAGCCTGGGTGGGCGACCACCTTGTTTTGGTGTATCTTTTCAGTGTTTCTTCCCTTGAGGAGAAGGTAGCAATAGTGGTAATAGTGACTGCCTTTTGCTGTCTGCCGCAAGTGTGCTGACCTACTGGGCTTTAGGGGAAGGCTGATGTTCTGTCATTAGTCACCTGGCTTTACTGAGCCCCATGCCTGTGGTTAAACTACCAGCTTCACTTCCTTTTCCCACCACCGGCAAGAGGAGGAGCTCACACTTGAGGCAGCACCTGGATCCCATCTAGGTTGCCTCTGTAGCATCCATTTAATTGGGGATGTCGGAGTTTGAAAAATAGCCCTGGTGTGAGCTTGCCAAGGTTTCCAAAGTCACGTATTACCCCTCAAATTTACAAATCTCTCCAGGGTTCTACTCCATGAGTTTTGTGACTTAACAGTATGTGCAGTCACTCCCAGTTCCAACACTCCTGCCTGGGTAGCTTGATACTCGCCAGGCTGGAAAAGCATGGGAAGTGTGCCAGCCTCCTATGGGCACAGCTGTGGGTGGAGGGGCGGAGTGCAGGTATGCCCTGGGCAGGCCGCCCATTGCCAGGCACTGCAACCCTCCACCCTGCAGCCCCAGTGCCTGCTCAGTGAAGCCCTTTGCATCTCGTAAGCTAAAGCAGGGCGGGGCGGCTCCAGCCTGCAGGAGGAGTGGCCTGAGAATTTGCACCCAGCCAGCGAGGAGAATATATGGAGGCAGGAGACTTGGCCTGTCGCCTGTCTCCGCCCCATCCATGAGACCACATCCTGGTGCGACCGCACTGGTCGGGTCAAGATGGCGATGATGGTGGGGTTGCGCGTCCAGGCGCGAGCTCTGCTCCGCCAGTGTATGTGGCCTTAGACGGGCGGACTCGGGGCGGGGGTGTGGGAGCATGCAGGGATGGCGAACTAATGGACTCCACGATGCTGTTTCTTAGGGGCCTGGCTCCCAAGCGTGACCCTCGGGCGGGCGGAGTCTGCGGCCAACGGTGGCGTAGGCGCACACACGCGAGGCTTCGGAAGCCAGCGAGTGCTGGTGGAGCCGGACCCGACCGCAGGTAAGCGTACTGTGTGCCTTCGAGCTCCGAAGCACTGGCCTCCTGCACGCCCGGCCTCGCCCCCTCTGTGTATCGGGCACGGATTCAGAGGTTTAGCGAAGGTGCCGACGACTGGCAAGGCAGAGTCACAAAACCTCCTGAGCTGGTTCCCTGCTTGTGCCCACCTCCCTGGGCTAAAAAAGGAGAAATTGAATAATGCCTCGAAGTACGGGCAACAGACATGCTCTGTAATGCAGCTTGTTGTATTATTGTCCCCTAGATCTGGAATCCAGGCTCGTGTGAAAGCTATTGAATTTCTAAAGGCCAAAAGAAAAAGCCCAATTTTAAAATCAGTTTCTGTTGCTTTGGTGGTTGTGGCTCAGTTGGTTGCACGTGGGACTGCAAAGTGTAAAGGTCTCAGATGGTATTCCAGGCCAGGTAACGGGACTAGCTTGCCAGTTAGGTCCCGGGCTGGGGCGCATGGGAGAGGCAACTGATTGATGTTTCTCTCCTTCTCGTTTTCCTTCCCTTCCCATGTCTCTAAAATATAAATAAATGAAATCTTTAAATTCAATTTCTGTTGAGTTCAGAACTTAAGGGTCATCAATGTAGTTGTTAGTTTAAATGGGTTTTCCCACCAGTTCATTATGAAGATAAAAATATTTGTTTTAAAAGTTTGGGGGCTGTGAAGCTATTAAGTTGGAAATGAAAAATACTCAGAAAATATTTTTAATAATTTTTAGAATTGCATTTTAATAATTTTTAGAATTAAATATTTTAATTTTTCTTAATGCTCCAACGCAGCACAGAATCGAGCAGATATTTTACTACTTAAAACTGGGAGCCACAAGTGGAATCACTCCTAGAACCACCACCACCGACACCCATCAGAACACCTCTTAAAACTTTCTGAAGATGGAAAATGTAGAAAGGGCACTTTTGAAAGAGAAACCTGTGCTTTCTCACTGGAAAGCACTCGAGCTGGGTGCCAAGAAAGCTTGGGGTCAGAAATGTACAAAGTTTTGGATTTTAGGACTAGCTGTCCCATGACCTCCCAGCTCTAAGGCCTCGGCCTTTCAAGATGGTGCCCTGATGTGCATTGGGGAAAGCCAGCGTCCTCCACTCCCAAACACACACAGGTTCCACGCTGTTGCCCATGCCTGGAGCAGTATCAGGACACCACGTTCCTTGGTTCATTTAGCCCCATTCTGGGTTGGGGCTGCCTGAGCCATGTTGGCATCAAGCTAGGCCCAACTGCGAGTCCAACATAAACCTGAGTTTCTAAAAGGATCATTTCTGTGACAGATTTGAATATATATGTGCAAAAACAGATTTAAAAGTATTGGAATGGATGGTGGTAGTGACTGCACAACATTGTGAATAAATACTTAACACCCCTGGATCTTACAGTTAAGAAATGATTTAGGCCCTGGCCAAGTATCTCAAAAGCATCATCCCAATATGCCGAAGTTGCCAGTTTCATCCCCAGTCAGACCACATACAAAAATCAACCAATGAATGCATAATTAAGTGGAACAACAAATCGTCATTTCTCTCTATCCACCCCCCTCCTTCACTCCCCACTTCCTCCCTCTACAATCTATAAATTTTTTAAAATGTTTTAATGGCAAAATTTCTTTTAAGATTTATTTTTAGAGAGGGAAAGGAAGGGAGAAAGAGGGGGAAAGAAACATCAATGTGTGGTTGCATCTCGCACGCCCCCCACCAGGGACCTGGCCTGCAACCCAGGCATATGCTCTGCACCAGGAATCAATCTGGCAACCCTTTGGTTCGCAGGCCAGCACTCAGTCCAGGGCTTTATGGTAAATTTTATGTTATATGAACAAGTAACTTTTTAAAAAGTATTGTTGAGGCAATTTTTTTACCAAAGCGCTTTCCCACTCTGCCATGGAAGAACCTCTCTAGTTTTGTTGGCTTGGTAGAAAGTCATGTTTGGAGTCAGAAAGCCAGATCTGATTCTGTCCTCACGGCCAGACCCAGTTAGTGTTGATGAATCTTGATGCTTGGATGAAGTAATGGAGTAAAAGTACTTTTAAAATGTTTTTATTTAATTGCCATTACTAAAGCTGATTTTAGATTCTGTTCAGCAAACATTTATTTTAGTATTTACCCTGTGCCAGAGGCGGTGTTACTGCTATCCCTGAGGTCATATTTCTCTTTGTTGACTCATGTTAGCCTTTCTTAACCTTTCCCCCAGTGTCCTCAATTCTGCCCACACAGCTCCACTAAAATGCAGGGCTACCTTCATAAACTTCCTTCCAAACTTCTGGAAGTTTTTTTATTTTTTTAATTATATTTTATTGTTCATGCCGTTACAGTTGTCCCTTCACTCGTCTCTACTAAGCCTCCCCCAACACACAAGACACACATGCTCTCAGGCAACCCCCACACTGTTGTCCATGTCTATGGATCATGCATATATGTTCTTTGGCTGCTCTCCATTCCCTATGTACTTGATATCCCCATGACTATTGTAACTACCAATTTATACTTTTTAATCTCTTCACTTTTGCCCAATTCCCTGACCCTCTCCCATCTAGCAATCGTCAGAACATTCTCTGAATCTGTGATTCTATTTCTGATGTGCTTGTTTGTTTATTTTGTTCTTTTTAAAGATTTTATTTATATATTTTTAGAGAAGGGAAGAGAGGGAGGGAAACATCAACATGTGGTTGCTTCTCACATGCCCCCTACTGGGGACCTGGCCCGCAACCCAGGCATGTGCTCTACACTGGGAATCGAACCAGCAACCTTTTGTTTCGCAGGCTGGAGCTCAGTCCACTGAGCCACACCAGCCAGGGCTGTTTTGGTTTTTTAGAGTCAATTGTTGAGCCCTGGCTGGTTGGGTGCATGAAAGGCAACCACACGCTGATATTTCTCTCCTCTTCCTCCCTTCCCCTCTGTCTAAAAATAAATAAATAAAATCTTTTTTAAAAAATCAATTGTTGATAGATATGTATTTATTGCCATTTTATTGTTCATAGTTTTGATCTACTTCTTAAAGACCCTTTAACATTTCATGCAATACTGGTTTAGTGGTGATGAACTCCTTTAGTTTTTTCTTGCCTGGGAAGCTCTTTATCTCTCCGTCTATTCTGAATGGTAACTTTGCTGGGTAGAGTAATCTTTGTTGTAGCTCCTTGCTTTTCATCACTTTGACTATTTCTTGCCAATTCCTTTTGGCCTGCAAAGTTTCTTTTGAAAAATCAGCTTGTTACCAAATAGCAAGTAGGGTCCTGCTGCCTGTGCCACCCTCTAGGCAAAATTTTGGAGGCAGAGGTGTGGTGAAAAAAGTAAGGAGTCTTTAATTAAAAGGTGCATTTTTTTTTTTTTTTTTTTTGAGGAGAGAAATATCGATTTGTTCCATTTATTTATGCAAACATTGGTTGATTCCTCCATGTGGCCTAACCAGGGATCAACCTGCAACCCTGGTGTATTGGGATGATACTCTAACCGACTAAGCTGCCTGGACAGGGCAGAAGATACATAATTTTGGAATAACAGCTTTAACACATGCATTAGTCACTTAAGACCATTAACTAAGGCTAAAATCTTTTAACTGTTGAGTTAAGCATATAGCTTTTCACGTGGTCTAATTACTTAAGCCTATCATTTAAGGCTAAAATCTGTAATTCTTGAGTTTTCCTATTATTTTTCCTGTTAATTTTTAATTATTTTATTTCTATAAGATTAGTTTATACACTAAAATAACATAAGACACAAAAGCTACAAAATTTTGGAAGAATGGTAGGCTTCTGCCTCAGAGCCCGTCCCCTCTAGCACACCCCCCAAAAAATACAACCCTGCTAAAGAGCCAGACCAGACAAGTCCTCGGCTGTGCCTGGAGTGCCTGCTCCCATTTAAAATACCATCCTTTGTGAAATACAGGCAGCTGCAGTATGATCATGCAGGCATCCTCGAAGAGAAAGAGTGAGTCTCTGCCCTCATTCCGTTTAAATCTTCTAGCCCATAATGCCATTTATTCCAGACGTGTCCAGCGTCTCAGTCAATCCCATCCTAGACTAGCAATCTGCACCTCCCCCTACCTTGTCTCTGCCCAATGGTAGGGAGATCTGTCGTGCCATACTAGCTTATTTACCATTCCTTGAGCAGTCTCCTCCTATGGCCCCTTCCTCACTCCTACTCAGTGATGTGATCAGATCTCTCTGTATCAAGCTGACATTCTTATGGGAGCTCCTTGGTAGGTAACTCACTGCTTTTCTCTTGCTGCTTTTAAGATTCTATGTTTAACCTTTGGCATTTTAATTATAATGTGTCTTGGTGTGGTCCTATTTAGGTCCAACTTATTTGGGACTCTGTTTCCTTGACTTCTATGTCTGTTTTCTTAACCAAATTAGAGAAGTTTTCTGTCATTTTTTTCAGATAGGTTTCCAATTTCTTGCGCTTTCTGTTCTCTTCCCACATCCCCTTGATGCAAACGTTAGTATGCTTGAAGTTATCCCAAAGATTTCTTATATTATTCTTTTTTCTTTTTTTCTTTTTTTTTTTTTGGATTCTTTTTTTCCTTCTTGCTCTTCTGACTGGTTGTTTTTTGCCTCCTTATGTTCCAAATTGCTGATTTGATTCTTGGCTTCATCCACTCCACTGTTGATTCTCTGTAAATTGCTCTTTATTTCAATTAGTGTTTCCTTCGTTTCTGAGTGGGTTTTTTGTTTTGTTTGTTTTATGCTGTCGAGGTCCTCACTAAGTTCTCTGAGCATCCTTGTAACCAGTGTTTTGAACTCTGTCTGATAGATTGCTTGTCTCCATTTTTTTAGTTCTTTTTCTGGAATTTTAAACTGTTCTTTCATTTGGGCCATGTTTCTTTGTCTCCTCTTTTTGGCAGCCTTTCTGTGTTTGTTTCTACCTATTAGGTAGAGCTGCTACGTCTGCCAGACTTGGCAGAGTAGCCTAATGTAGTAGGTGTCCTGTAGGGTTCAATGGCACAGCCTCCCCTATTACCTAAGCTGATTGTTTGAGGTGTTGTGCCTACCATGTGGGCTATGTACTCCCTCCTGTTGTTGTTGAGCCTTGATTGCTATTGACACATCCAATGTCAGCCACTGACCGTTTTGTCCAGGGTTGCACAGCATAAGCTACAAAGAGATCTGCAGGTGGCTGCTACTTGTGCAGCGCTTGGTGGTGCCCAGGTGAGGCCAAGCTGTGAACCAAGGCCAGCTGCTGCAAGTATAGAGCCTGGGGCACCTTAGCAAGAGGTACAGAGGTTGGTGAAGACATATGCTAGTTGTTTGAGGGAACTGAGGAAATTCTGAAGCATAGGCCAACACAAGCCATTCATATACAAAAGCCACTGGAAACAGCTTGGGTGGGCTCGTTTGTTGGGTGGGGGAGGGGTTCAAGGAGCCACATGGGTGGGGCAAACAGTTGTAAGTCAGGTTAATAGAGTCTCAGATATTGACCCTGCTTGCGAGCTCTTTGGCTCAATTGGGAGAGGGCTCAGAAAAAGAACAATGGCCTCTGCCAGCATTTCTTTCTGGGAGAATGCGGCCCCCCCCCCAGCACTTGCCCTGATGCCAGACAATTCAGTTCCTCCCCATATGTCTCTGATGCCTTTCAGTTGCTGCCCCCACGCTGGAGACAAGAGGGAGTGAGTCCAAATAAGTCTGTGCATGGGCTATCTAAGAGGAACTGCCTGAGACTCCTGCAGTATCTGTTTTCCACAGCCTCAATCCCACTGATTTTTACAGGCGGAAGTTGTGGGGACTTAATCTTCCTGGTACTGGAACCCTGGGCTGGAATCCTCTGCTCCTAAGATAGCTCTCCTGATTTTCATCTGCCACATGTGGATGTAGGACCAGCTCCTGCCAGTCTCAATGTGGTTTCTTCTTTAATTCTGTATTTGGTTGCTACGTTAATTCTGTAGTTGTAAGACTCCCATTCAGCTTGATTTCAATGGTGGTGGTTCTATAGTTTAGTTGTGATTTTGATGTGGTTGTGCAAGGAAGTGAGCCGTGTTTATTTATGTCTCCATCTTAACACAAAGTCTCTACCCAAACTTCTGGAAGTTTTGATTGCTCCTTGTGTGTACATGTACATACCTGTAGCTAGGTAATAATTACTTCTTCCTCCTAATTTAAAGGCCTCAAAAGAGCCCATTGTCTTCAGGACTTAATTTCCCTAGAGAATGTTTTGTTTTGTTTTTAGTGTATTTTATTGATTATGTTATTACAGTTGTCCCAACTTTTCCCCCTTTGCCCTCCTCTGCCTAGTACCTCCCCTTCCCTTTAGCAATCCCTCCCCTTTTAGGTCATGCCCATCAGTCGTGCATATATACGTTCTTTGGCTTCTCCATTTCCTATACTGTTCTAAACACACCCCTGTCTTTTTTGTACCTACCAATTATGCTTTTTAATTGCACCTTTTCCCCCATTCTCCCCCTTACCCCCTTCCCTCTCCCAGCTGATAATCTGTGGTTCTGTTCCTGTTCAGGCAGTTTGCTTAGTTTGTTGGGTTTTGTTGTTGTTTTATTCAGCTGATAGCTATGAATTTATTACCTTTTTAATGTTCATAATTTTAATTATCTTCTTTTTCTTAAATTCCCTTTAACATTTCCTGTAATAACAGCTTGGTGATAACCTTTTCTTTACCTTGTCTGTCCTTTATCTGTCCTTCCATTCTAAATGATAGATATGCTGGATAGAGTAATGTAGGTTGTAGGTCCTTGCTTTCATCATTTTGAATACATCTTGCCAGTCCCTTCTAGCCTGCAAAGTTTCCTTTGAGAAATCAGCTGATAGTCTTATGGAACTCCTTTGTAGGTAACTCTCCGCTTTTCTCTTGCTGCTTTTAAGATTCTTTAACCTTTGGCATTTTAATTATAATGTCCTTGGCACGGCCCTCTTTGGGTCCAACTTGTTTGGGGCTCTCTGCCTCCTGGATTTGTATGTCTGTTTCCTCACCAAATTAGGAAAGTTTTCTTTCATTATTTCTTCAAATAAGTTTTCCAATTTCTTTCTCCTCTTCTACTCCTTCTGGCATCCCCATGATTTGGGTGTTGGCATGTTTGGAGATGTTTCAGAGTTGTCTTCGTTTTTTTGTGTTGTTGTTTTGTTTTTTTTTTAAATCTTGTATCTTCTTTCTCTTCTGGTTGAATGTTCATTTCTTCCTTATGTTCCAAATCATTGATTTCAATCCTGGCTTCCTTCCCTTCACTGTGGGTTCTCTGTAGATTTTTCTTTATTTCACTTAGTGTAACCTTCATTTCTTTATGTTGCTCCTGTACTCAGTGAGCTCTTTGAGCATCCTAATCACCAGTGTTTTGAACTCTGCATCTGATAGGCTAGCTATCTCCCTTTTGTTTAGTTCTTTCTCTAGGGTTTTGTTCTGTTCTTTCATTTGGGCCATATATCTTTGTCTCCTCAATTTGGCAGCCTCCCTGTGTTTGTTTTTGTGTATTAACTAGAGCTGCTTTGACGTCCTGTAAAAGGTGCCTGTAAATTGTGTGGGGTGGAGCCTCAGGTAATGGCCAGGGTGGGGCAACCTGCTTCACTGCTTTGTGGCTCTGTGTGAGGGGAGAGCTCAGAAAGGTGACTGTGCCACTGCCTGGCTCCTGGGGGTTTGCCTGGCACTCGCCCCGTTTTCAGACACTTCACCCACTCCCCATAAGCAACTGGCACCTTTCTAGCTGTTGCCCTGGTGTTGAATCCCAGAGTGTGTGGGTTTGCATATGTTTTGAGACCGCATGGGCCCTTTAGCAGAGTTTCCTGACAATCCAGCAGTTTCTTCCTCCACCCCTTCCCCACTGGTTTTTACAGCCAGAAGATATGGGGATTTATCTTCCTAGTGCTGCAACCCTGGGCTGTGCAGCCTGGGATCGCTGGCTCCCACAGTAACCCTCCCGATTTTGATCCACCACACATGAATGTGGGACTACCTGTGATTTTTCTGACAGTTCTGGGCGTTATTTGTTTTAAGATTTAGTTGTAACTTTTTGTGGTTGCACAAGGAAGCGAAGCTTGTCTGCCTGTGCCTCCATCTTGACTATAAGGCTTTCCTAGAAAATGGTTTGTGTTGATAGTCCAGAGATTGCCAAGGTCCTGACCAGGGAAATGCACCCTAAATGAATGGTGGCATACCCGGAGTCCTAGGGCTCTGCCCTTGACCAAGCAGTGAGAACAGATGGCTGCAGCTGGCCCAGGCCAGCAGCTTCACTGTCCACAAGGGCAGGCCCTGTCCCTCCTGCTTTCCCTGCTGCTGGCATAGAGAATGAATGGAGAATATCTGACATCCCACTCCCAATATTTTTTGCCTCAATCTTTCTTTTTTTCATCCTTACCTGAGGACATTTTTTCATTGCTTTTTTGAGAGAGGGGAAGGGAGAGAGAGGAACATTCATGTGAGAGAGAAACATTGATCTGGTGCCTCCCAAACACACCCCAACAGGGGACTGAACCCACAACCTAGGTATGTGCCCTGACTGGGAATCAAACCCAAAACCTTTCGGTTATGGGATGATGTTCTAACAACTGAGCCACACTGGCCCGGGCCACCTCAGTCCTTAAACAAGCATGAACTATAGGACCTCACTGGATTCCTCCTTGCGGGAATCTCAGAGTTGGCTCACTTGCTCCTCAAGAAACTAAGGCTATTCCTACTCCCATTTGAATGGTGGGCTTGTCTCTGGGAGAAAAGATAACAAAAATTTGTACATGAATGTTCACAGCATTATTCACAATAGCCAAGAGGTGGAACCACTTCAGGTGTTCACCAGCACATAACTGCATAGACAGAATGCAGTGTACAGCAGGATATTATTCGACCTTAAAAAGGAATGAGGCAAACCTGTCTAGTGTGGCTTGGTTGGGCATCGTCCCACAAAGCGAAGGGTTACTAGTTTCATTCCCAGTCAGGGTACATGCCTGGGTTGTGAGTTCAGTCCCCGGTTGGGGCGTGTACGAGAGCCAACCAATTGCTATTTCTCTCACACATCAATGTTTCTCTCTCCCTAAAAATAAGTAAATAAAAACATAATTTAAAAACAAAAAAAAGGTAATGAGGCACTGATGTATGTTCCAACGTGGGTGAACTTTTTTTTTAAATTCCCACCCAAGGATATATTCATTGATTCCAGAGAGAGAAGAAGGGAAAGAGAAAGAGAAACACTGATGTGAGAGAAACATTGATTGTGTGCCTCCCATACATGTCCTAACCAGAGATCAAACCCGCAACGTAGGTATGTGCCTTGACTGGGAATCAAACCACAACCTTTTGGTATACAGGACAACGTTCCAACCAACTGAGCCACCAGGCTAGGGCCTGAGTTGTTCACTTTTAAAGGGTTAATTTGTTACGCAAACCTCACTTCTATTGGAAAAAACCATGTAACTTCCCATGGCCAAGCTGAGAGTATAGATTGCTTAGGGGCACTTTTCCAATCCTGGGCATGAGCTTTCTCTTCATTTTCACACTAGGGATTGCAGTAATCAAGATGAAGAATCCCCCGGTGAACAGCCTCAGCCTAGAGTTGCTGACAGAGTTTGTCATCAGCCTGGAGAAACTGGAGAACGACAAGACCTTCCGAGGCATCATCTTAACTTCAGTGAGTGCTTGTTAGCTCCCCAAGGCCCTGAGTTCCCTGATCAAAGTATGAACCTGCTACAGATCAAAGTCCAAACTCAGAGACCATCTGCATGTCACATAGTGTGGAATAGCTAGGCAGCCCTGGATGCAGGTGCCTGCGAGAGACTTAGGGATTGTGGTCCTGGGCAGATGACGTTTCTGCAGGGACAGCCTTGATTCGTGAAGGGTAGACTCTGTACAAACTGGGCAGTGGATTCCTAGGGTGCCTTCCTTGGGTGGTCCTCAGAGTCTGGGCTGGTTTTAACACCCAGACTCTTAGGACTGGGTACCTCATATGTGCCTGCCCACCCCCCCAGTGGGCATCAGGCCCACCTGCTCTCAGGCACCACAGGTGCCAAGAGGGGACACAGATAAAACCAAGCTGGGGAGGTGAAGTGAAGAGTCAACATAGCAAGGCTTTCGTTGGGTTTGGAAGAGCACTAGGGTCACCTTTCAAGTTAGGAGCCACAGACAGCATGAGTGTCCCGCAAAGCTAAATGCCACCACACTACCGAGACCACACTACAGATACCCCCATAAAGGGGTATCTTATCCTGCCATCAGTAAAGGTGTAGGAAGCAGACCAACAGCCTCTTTCAGCCACGGTTTAGTGCATCCACTGTGGGCGTGCATCTGCTTTCTCATCTCTCAGGTTGCCTCAGGGGTGGCCTGGTCTTGTCAGACCTCTGAATAGCCTGGCTGTCTCTGACCTGGGGCAACCCAGCACTGTGCCAGAGACAAAGGCCAGCAGGGGACTGCCGGGCACTGGGTGGGACGCATGTACTTGGTGGGTCCTGTGAAGCTGGGGTTTTCAGAGCAAAGCTTGGCCCCATCCTGTGGGAGGGAGATTATTCCATGTTTCTCCAAGGGTGGGACTGATACTGATACTCATGGGTATAGATTGCTGAGGGCCTGGGGGCAGAATCCCAGGGAACTTTTGACAATCGCAGCAAAACTTCCTGGAGATGCTAAAATTGCCTGGGAACTTTTCAGTCTGCATATTTTCTGAAAATACTCCATTTAAGATGTCATTTCATAGCATGATATTTTGTTTTTTTAAGATTTCATTTATTTGTTTTCAGAGAGAGAGGAAGGGAAGGAAAAAGGGAAGGAGAAAAACATCAATGTGAGAGACAGACATCAATTAGCTGCCTCTCATATGCACCCCAACAGGACACCAGACCCACCACCCAGGCATGTGCCCTCACCGGGAATCAAACTTGCAGCCTCCTGCTTTGCAGGACTACGCCCAACCAACTGAGCCACACTGGTCAGGGCAACATTTTCTTTTTTGTGCTTTAAAATGAAAGAACTCTTTTGTCACCAAACATAGGACTGTCAGAATGAGCGAGGGGGGAAACGATCATTTTACTGAGGCCCCCAGCCTAGGTGCTTGTGGGCACTGGGTGCTACATAGTGAAGGTCCCTGCTGCCTCCAGGCCTCAAAGTCGCACAACCCTGGAGGAAGGGAGCCAGCATGTGTCCCTCCAAAGCCCACATTCTTGCCACTGCAGTGTGATCTCCCCCTAAATGTGTCATCATTGTGTTCTGTACTGAGTGCCTACTGTGTGCGTAGCACAAGGCCTGCCCAGTAGGTCCTCAGCAGATGAGTATGGAATGATGCCAGTAGTGTCATGTGACCACCATCACAAAGCACACAAATGAGGTGTGTAAAACAACAGAAACATACTCTTAACAGTTCTGGAGGCCGCAAGGTTAAAACCAAGGGTCCGGCAGGGACGGCTCCCTCTGCCGGCCCTTGGGGAGCATCCTTCTTGGCCTCCTCCAGCTCTGGGCGCTCCTGGTGCTCTGCACTTGTCTCCAGCACTCCAGTCTCCTTCATCTTCACAAACGTGTGCCCTGTGTCTGTGTCCAAATTTCCTTCTCCTTAGAATGACACCAGTCCCAGGATTTAGGGTCCCCCTACTCCAGAATGACCTCATCTTGATTGCATCTGCAAAGACCCTGTTCTGAATAAGGTCACATTCACAGATCCTGGAAGTGAGGACTTGACCTTGTCTTTTTCAGGGACACAATTTGGCCCATTAAAAACGTGTTGCTAAAGCACAGAAACGGGCCACTCCACCCCCCTTCTAGTATGTCTCTCAGAGATTATCCCAGTTAGGATCATGTGCTTTATTCTCTCACTTCCAGAATATAATGCTTTGCCGTTGATTTCCTGAAGCAGGACTATGGGCAAGTGCCGTAATCCTGCCCAACATCTGTGATGATAAAATGTATTGGATTTTGTCGGGGAGAGGGCCAGGGGATTATGGTAGGAAAAGGATGAGGGAAAAGGCAGAAAAGCTAAATATCAAGTCCTGCCATGTCCCTAAAGCAAAAGCAACTCTGTTCCTGCTGCCATCCCTCCGCCACAGTCAGGGGTTGGTTTCCAGGTCCCTATACCTGGCCCATGAGAAACGGTGGACTTGGTGTAACAACTGCACGTCTTTGTTTGCTGGGTCTTTTTAAGTTACAAGAGTAGAACACATTCCATGGAAACAAGAAGTCAGCATCCAAGTATTGTACACACACAAGCATGTGCGTATGACACCTTGCATTGCAACTTGTTTTCATAGCTTAATATAAAGATGTAGGGGACATGGAGTTTGACTGTCCCACACGTTAGCTGCCTGCTCCTCACAGACAGTGGGTAGTTGTCATTCCCACAAGCAGTGTAGTAGCCGTTGTCAGTTCTATTTAGCAAGTGGATGCTCACGCCAGCCTCAGGTGCCCCAGACCCCAGCCGTGTGAGGGGCTCCTTTGCTCAGAGGTGCTGAGACCACATGGGAACCCCAGGGGTGAGTGTTTTCAAGTGAAGGCTGCTGAGCCATCCCTCCCTGTCTGTGTTCTCGGCCAGCAGTCCTTTGAACACCCAGAACTTGGTGCCTACTGCTGGAAAGCACCGTCATGCTGGCAGCCCTTTATTCTAGCCTGTCGTTCCTCTTCTGTGTTTGCTCCCCAATCCCAACCTTGGCAGTTGTCTCAGGACGTGGGGCATCTACACAAGACACATATGCCTTCAAGGGCATTCCCAGGCTTCTGTCTTGACAGCTCAGGGCAGTGGTCTTCCTTTCTCTTTCTTTCTCTCTCTCTCTCTCTCTCTCTCTCTCAATTTTATTTATTTTTAGAGAGAGGGGAAGGGAAGGAGAAAGACAGGGAGAGAAACATTAATGTGGGAGAAAAACATCAGTCATTTGCTTCTCTTATGCATCCTGACTAGGGAACAAATCCCCAATCCATGCATGTGCCCTGACTGGGGATTGAACCAGTGACCTTTTGCTTTGCGGGATGACGCCCAATCAATCAACTAAGCCACACCAATCAGGGTAAAGGTCTCTTTTCCTGACCGGTCACTGTCCCTTTCCTGATCAGACCGGAGCACCTCCCTGTTTACCAGTCCGCAGCTTGCTTGACCTTTGCGGGTAAATCAGCATGTGTCCCAACAGACTGTCGGAAGTCTTTCCCACACCTCTTGAGTGTTCTGCCTGGGATACCGCATAGGTGTACCCAGAGCCCATGGGAGCACCTGATCCTTCCTGCCTGTTTTGCCTATTTCAGTTTGAACTTGAAAGGGGAAGAGCATCCCAGGACGTAGAAGGAACTGAGTCTGAGGGAGGTTGATGCTGAGTCCTGGAGCCCCAGCTCAGCGCTCCTGGGGGCAACATCCTGCCGCCCTGAGCATGACCTCAGCCTTGCTGCCCCTTGAGCCCCTGTGCATGCCCCCTGCCTTAGGGGCACGTTGCCCTGGAAGGTGGACTCTGATGGGGCCCTGACTCCCTCACTCACCCAGGACTGCCCGGGGGTCTTCTCAGCTGGCCTGGACCTGACAGAAATGTGCGGGCGGAACCCAGCGCACTATGCTGAGTACTGGAAGGCCGTGCAAGAGCTGTGGTTGCGGCTCTACCTATCCAACATGGTGCTGATTGCTGCCATTAATGTGAGTATCTCCACTCCCAGTGGCCTTGCTGACTGTTTAGAAGCTGTGGGGGTGGGGAAGGCAGTGTAGATGTGGCTGTGCCCCCAGGAAGCCCTCACAGGGGAAGGGTACCTTGGGGAGACCCTTAGACATGCGTAGGTAAGCATGTCTAAGTGATTACAGGTCACTGACATGGTGACAGACAGGTGGGGGCCACAAGGGTCAACTTGCTCACAGGCTGGGGCAGGGCCCAGGCCCATGGTTGACTTGGCCCTGTGAGAGGGCTATACAGGGAGCAAGAGTGGGGAATTGGGTCCACATTTTGAAAACATCACTTTGGCCTGACGTGGGGAAGGCACAGGCAGGTCGCTGAGGCAAGGTGCTGGAGCTAAGGCTTCAGAACTGGCGTGCCCTGAAGAGATGCACAACCCAAGTAAGGTGCGAGGAGGGCCTGAGCCTGGTGGAAGGGAGGAGTGGTGGGGCTGGGTCTCTGAGAGCTCACACCCACTGTCAAGCCATTCCTTGGAACCCTGGCTCTGGAATACTTTTGGGACCAGCAATAGCAGCACCCAGGGGCCAGTGGTCTTACTTTCCCTGCAGGGAGCCAGCCCGGCCGGAGGCTGCCTGCTCTCCCTCCTCTGCGACTACCGCATCCTGGCTGACAACCCCAAATACCGCATCGGGCTGAATGAGACCCTGCTGGGCATCGTTGCCCCCTTCTGGTAAGGTCAGGGACTGCACCCATATTCCACCTGGGTTGGGGCGGGGGTTGAACCAACCCACCTGGGAGCTCCTAGCTCCAGGTGAGTGGATGTCTGCATTCCAGGTTCAAAGATGTCCTTGTGAACACCATTGGGCACCGTGCCTCAGAGCATGCTCTGCAGCTGGGGACTCTCTTCCCGCCAGCAGAGGCCCTTCGGGTGGGCATAGTGGACAAGGTAGTGCCTGAGGACCAGGTGCAGAGCACAGCACTTTCAGTGATGGCCCAGTGGATGTCCATTCCAGGTGAGAAGCACAGGGAGGGACAGCTGCTGTGGGTACTGGGGGGCAAGCAGAGCCGCCTTCCCTCTCCTTCTCCCTTCCCCTTCCCGCTAGTGAGACCAGAAAGTTCTCATGTAAAAAAATGCACTGTGCAAGTTGAGAACATGTACGCCAAGTGTCCTGGGGATACAGTAACAAATTACCACAATGGAGTCGGGAACTGCTTAAAACAACAGAAATGCATGCTCACAGTGTGGAGGCCAGAAGTCCAAAATCAAGTTGTGGGTAGGACCAGCCTTACTCCAGACTCAAGGAGGCTCATTTCTGCCTCTTTCACTTTCTGGTGGCTCCTGGCATTCTTTGGCTTGTGGTTTCATCACTCCAATCTCTCATTCCATCTTCACATGGTCTCTTTTCTCTTATAAGGACATTTGTCATTAGATTTAGAGCCCACTCGAAATCCAAGGTGACCTCATTTTACTATATCTGCTGAGACCCTTTTCCAAATAAGGCCACATGCACTGGTTCTAGAGGAGTAGTTAGGACTTTCACATATCTTTTTGGGATCTACTATTCAACCCACTACACAGACAATTGGAAACAGCCTACATGTCTGTTTATAGAAATAGGGGTGGTTATATAGGGACATGGATCAGCAGACTATAAAAAGTCAAGATTTCTGGCTTTGTAGGTTACATGGTCTCTGCCACAACTGGCACGAAGGCAGCCACAAAGAGCACGTGAACTCTTAATGAGCATGTTGGTGTTCTGATAAAACTTATCACATATCACAACATATTATTATTTTTTCAATTTTTTATTCAACTATTTAAAAATGTAAAAACCATTCTCAGCTCATGGGCCGTGGGGCGACCAACTAGCATGCACCGTTTATTATAAGACTATTGAGTGACTTGGAAAATATTCTCGATAATATAGGTGAGTAAAAATAACAGGTTAAAAAGGCAATTTTTACAGTATTTTAAAAGAAATCAGTGGGCAGTGAGAAGTAGGTTATTTTCACTTTCTTCTCTTTGCTTATATCTTTTTTTACCAACGTTTCTGTCTTGGGGAGGTTGAGGATGATGCCATTGTCTCAGAGTGTGTGGGTTTTCACATGTGGGTCCCTCTCTCTTTAGACCACGCTCGACAGCTGACCAAGAACATGATGCGAAAGCCCACAGCAGACCACTTGGTGAAACACCGTGACTCGGACATCCAGAACTTTGTCAGCTTTATCTCCAGAGACTCCATCCAGAAGTCCCTGCAGATGTACTTAGAAAAGCTCAAGCAAAAGAAAGGCTAACAGCTAGGCTGCCCACACGAGGTGTAGGCCATATGCACCCTTCTGGAGGGAGGCCCTCTGGTTCCAAGAGGTTTTAATTTAAACAAGCTGTTTTCTCATCTGAAAACCCTTTCAGCCCTTTGTTTTGTTGATCTTCCCAGAAGGGCCTGTTTCTTGTAGACAGGGTCCCACGGATCACCACCACACATGAGTGCCTTTACTGCCTGGCAGGTGAACCCATTCTGGACCTTGTCAGGGTTCCACTGAGTGTCTTCTTTCCCAAAGAATTGTGAATAAAGTCTTCAGGTTACCCCATGCCTAGCCGCTGGGCTGCCTGATTGCTGATAGTCATGGGCCCTACTGTTCGCACAGAAACCCACCGTACCTGCCCCCATTAGAGAAAAATCCTTTGGCCACCACATTTGTTCATTTAGATGGAGGGAGTTAACGACAATTCAGAGAAATCGGGGAACTTGAGGAAAGAGGGAGGCATTACTTGAGAGGGATTGTATGTTCTGAGTGTCCTAGATCTTGTTTTAGGAAGATTTGTCAAGAAAAACTTGTTTACACTTTTGATACAAAGGCCTTTCCTCCCATACCCTTCAGGACAGTTACCAAATCCTTCCAAAGACGAGATGTTTCAAAAACCAGAGATCTCATCAGGCTCCTGTCAGTTATGCTGTGCACCCCAGCTCTGCTTGTTCCTGATCCTCAGGTCATGGGTTACCTTGCACACAGGCCACTGTCCTCCCAGACAAGCCTTTGCCCAGCCCAGGGCTCCTGAGGACAAACCCACCCAGGAAGGCACTGTTGAAGGGCTGTACCACCAGGAGGTGTGCAGGTTCTGTGGGCAGGACTTTAACCTGATGCCCCGCAATGCTGGATAGAATACCTGGCACGGACCAGTACCTAAGGATTCTTGCAGGACCAGGGAGTCGGACTGCGAGGGGACGTTGGTCTGGGAGGTTGGCCTTCAAGTCAACAATATTCCTGTGTGAGTGCTGATCCCCATTCATTCAGTACAAGTTCTTGAAGCATTTACAACAGTCTGGAGGTGGTAGTTCCCAGCAGGATGTGAAATGGGCAGGCTCAACTGCCTGTTACATAAAGTACTCACTGGGCTGCAGGACCAAGGTTTGTGCCACAGAGACTCAGAAGAAAGGACATGGAGGCCTGCAAGCCAGCCTGTTTGTGGTCCTAGCCAAGTACACATTTATTGAGCAGAGCCATGCCCAGTGCTCTGGGGTACTCCACACCCCTGTGATGTAGGTGGTGGTAGGCCATTTTACAGATGGGGAAACAGGCTCTGAGTGGTCCGGTAACATGTCAACGGCCACCTGTCCAGGCCCAGTTGACCCTGCCCTGCAGCCTTGCTGGGGGTAGGCCAGCCACCCTGAAGGAGCCTTGTGGGTCTGTTCCTCATGGCCACTCTACAGGGAGCATGCCCTGGCCAGTCCTCAGCTGTCAGTGGGATTTGAGAGTCACCTCCACTGGAAAATGGTCACTGATGGCAAGGGCCTGGAAGGAAAGGGGTCCAAGTCTCAGAGGCCCTGCTGGGCAACCTGTCCTCCCTGAGGCTTCACCTCAGAGAATGGCCTGCCATCTGGGATAGAGCTCACGGGGTTTCTACAAACCACTGTACCAGGAGGAGCAGGCCAGTGAGGCCTGAACTGTCCACCCCTGCTGCGCCTGCAGGTGGGGTAAGGGCACAGACTTACGAGAGGCAAAGGACGTCCTATCCCGCCATCCCAGACTTGTACCATTCAGCTAAAACAGATTTTAGGGGCCTTTTCTGAAACTAGGGCAGGGAGGGAAGCACCAGGTGCACTGGAGCTGAGCCTGGTCCTGGGCAGGAGGGAGCAGGCTCCTCCCCTCTGTCAGTACCGAGCACCCTGGGGACGCCCACCGCTGTGGGGCTCAAGGCAACACTCACCTGAGTCTGGTCCAGGCCGAATACCTCCTGGAAATTGTGCACAGCGGCCGACTGGGGCTTCAGGCTCCTACGCAGGTGGGCACCACAGACGACAATGCGGTCGTACGCACAGTCTGAGTTGCCTACCGTGGTGTCAGCACTGTCCGGAATGAGCCACTTGAAGATCTCGCTGCTGCGCAGACGGATGGCCGCCCAGTCTTGTTCCCGCACATAGCTACAGTCAGCGTTGAAGTCGCCCAGGAACAGCATGTCCTGCAGAGTATCAGGGTCTGAGCCAGCCCAGCAAGCCCACGCCTCTATGGCCGCCCCCGGGGCATGCCTGCCGGGACCCAGGACTGTGCTGTGGGCGCAGGGCTTACGTCGGTGCCCCACTTGTCGATCACGTCCAGATAGACGTCGTAGAGAGCGTCGATCTCGGCTACTGCGTGGTGTGGCGCAGCGTGCAGTGGAACTAGCACCAATTCCTTGGCAGCTGGCGGAGGGGTTAGGTATCAGAGGCCGGGTGGGGCCTGCAGGAGGGGTGGGGTCTGCGTGGGGCGGGGCCTCACCGGAGTTAGGCGCTGAGAATTTGACCACGAAAGGTTCACGACTAAAGGTGTCCTCCGGGTCAGGGTACTGGTACGTATCTGCAACTGACACCACATCCTTTCTGGAGGCAGAGGGCGGGTGGGTGCGCTGAGCTGGCCACCTCCTACCCAGTACTCTGTTTCCCAGCCCCTCACCTATAAATGAACAGGTACATTTCCTTGTACTGGTCCCGCCCCAGGGGCTCACTGCTCACGAAGCTGTACTGGTGACTGGACACGCTGCGGAGATATGGACCAAACCTGGGTCAAGGCACCACGCCGAAGCCTGTGATGCCAGCCAGAGCTCCCGATGCTGAGCCCTGCCCGCCACACCTGTTGATCTGCTCCATGAGCGCAGAGACTGCGCTCAGGTCAGGGTCTCGCACCTCCTGCACAAGCATCACGTCATAGCCAGCCAGGATCTGAGGAGGAGACCAGAGAGGCGGGATCACACGTGGCAACCTCTCAGGCGGAGCCCAGTGGTAGCCCTGGTCCCGGCCCCTGGCCTTACTTGCGCAATGATGCCGCCGCAAGCCGAGTCTGACACTTTGCTGTCGCCAAAACTCTGGATGTTAAAGGCTCCAATGCGCAGCGCCACTGCCACGGTGGCCTCCATAGCCCAGAGCACTGCCAGTAGAGACCGGGGCCGGTCCATTTCGCTGGGAGGGACAGACACGACATGGCTCGCATGAACACAGACCTGGAGTCAGACACACGCAGCCACTTGTCTCCTCCCCCAACGCTGGCTGGTGCCAAGGCACAACCTCCCCCTGCGTTCTCCAGGTCTCCTCAGGGTTGTGCTCTGGGCTCATGGCCATTCTTCTACTCGGTCAGGAAACTGTAGCCCAAACAGACTCCATTAATCCAGCCCCAGGCTCTGCCCAGCTCCCAGACTCACCTGAGACGTGGATGGCCTTGTGTCAGAGGCTCAGGATCTGGGCCCAGAGAGAGTTCTGAGGTCCAGGATGGGAGTGTGTCTGTGGTACCAGACTTCAAGGGCTTGATCTGACAACACCTCTGGTGCCTGGGCACAGGCAGGTATTTGAGGCCCTGGTCTAGGGAGGGGCCAGACTGCATTGGGTCCCGCCCCTCCCACAGAGTTGGTGCCAATACTCCTGGCTCCCATTTCCAGGGAGACCCCAGAGGACAAGGCAACAGGTAATCCACCCTGAACACTGCTCCAGCTCCCAAGTCTGTCAGAATCTGGACTCTGAAGCCCCTGACAGCACTCTAAGAGCTGTGAGAGACTTGGGGAAGATGGCCAGCCATGCCCATGGTCCAGGCCTTGTTCTTCTTCCCATTCCCCAGAAATTAGGTCACCCAGAATCTCTCTCCTAGTTACATCCCCTCAGGGAAACTAAGGCAGCACAATTAGGAAAGACCAGCCCCATTTTTAGCCCCACATCCCCTGCTGCTTCTCCAACACATCATCAGAGGCTCCTGGTCTCCTGGCCTCAGTCCCCTGCCCCAAGGGCACCACATCAGGCCTCAGGAAGCTGGGGCACAGATCCCAGTGGGCAGGGCAGCAGTAGGGGGCTGCCTGTCCACATGCCAGTGACGCCCACATGCCGCCTAGATATCACCGGCCCCGCCAGGAGCACTGGGCAGGAGGCCAGGCAGGACAGCCTACAGAACAGCCTGGGCAGGCAGGTGCTGCCACAGGGGAAGCTGCCAGGGCGGTGGCACCAGTGCTCAAGGATCACTGCTACCTCACAGTGAGTTTTCATGTTTTATTGTAAAGCAACAAAAAAACCCTGTATTTACATTCCCACATATCTGAATTCTGTGCCCCATATTTTCCGTACTAGGCCTGGTAGAAGTGAGCAGGGCACTCACGGTCCTTGCCCCTGACTCAGCTCAGTCCAGCAGGACCCTACAGGCGCCCATGTTAAACGATGACAGTCTGCACCTCGAGCTGGCCCTCTGGTGAGGCAATGACCAGCTCGCCTGCATGCTCCAGGATCTCAATGTCCTCTGATGAAACCATGGTCACAGTAGCCTGCTCGGCACCATTTGTGCCCGCGCGGGCAGTGAGCACAGTGCCCTCGCTGATGGCTGAGGCCAGCGTCATGGCCACCTGCTCCGTCAGGCTCTCAGGGGTGGCAATGGTAATGGTGTCAGCAGCAGCCACTTCAGGACCCAGCCCCGCCTCCTGGTCCATGGTCACATTCTGCACGATGATTTGGTGCCCAGCGCTGGCCTGGTGTACGATCTGCTGCACCACCTTCATGATGTGGCTGTCCACCTGTGGGTGGCTCACAGCTCAGCCCACAAGTCTGTGTGAGGGAACCAGACCACCCCTTCCCCAGTCCCTCACCTCTGTCTGGGTGCCCTCAATGATCTCTGTAGCTTCACTGGTCTCTGCATCATCTGAGGTGGCCTGTAGAGAGGGTCAGAGGTCAACCTTGCCTGCCCCTGGGCCTCAGCCCAGCCCAGCCCAGCCCAACACCCACCTCAATGATGTACTCCTGGGTGTCAGCCACCACAGATGAGAATTCGACCAACACAGTGTGTGGATCCTCGCCCAGGACAGTGGCAGCTGACGTGGGGCTCTCCTCTGACACCAGCAGCTCCTCCACCTCCAGCAGGCAGCCACCTGCGATGAGGATCTCAGTCAGGGCTGGGCAGGATCGGGCAGGACTGCCCTTCACCCCTTTCTACCAGCCCCCAACCTTTTGTGCGCAGGTGCCGGTTGAGTGTGCCATGCTCAGCAAAGCCACGGCCACACTTGTAGCATTTGAAGGGCTTCTCGCCTGTGTGGTGCCTAACGTGCCGCACCAGTGAGCCCTTCTCCCGGAAGCCTCGGCTGCAAAACGGGCACACATGCGGCTTCTCCTCCAGGTGTGTCCGAAAGTGCACCTGCTGGGCATTCTGAGGAGACCCACTGTTAGGATTGACCTGGCCTCGGCCACGGCTCAGGCTGAGGCTTTCCCCACTGACCTCTAAGGTCAAGGGAGGGGTGGGAGTCATAGGCCAGTAGGGAGGGGCCAGACCAACACTGAGCAGGCTGGGGGGCAAAAAGGACACAAGGGAGAGCTAGGGAACAAGGGATGGATCTGGCCCAGGGAGTGGGGAGCTCATGGGTGGGATCAGAAGTCAAAGGTCAGGGCTGGAAGGTCCACCTTGGTCTTGTAGCGCTTGCCACACTCAGGACAAGGATAGGGCCGCTCATCTGAATGAACACGCCGGTGGCCCCGAACATGAGCAATGGTCTTGTAGAGTTTCCCGCAGTCCCCACAGCGGAAACGGCGCTCATGCACATGCACCTCCTGGTGCTTCTTGAGCAGGTAGGCCTTGAGGAAGACCTTGCCACACTGTACACACGTGAACAGCTTCGGCCCTGGGGCCACATGCAATGTCAGACCAGGTGCAACCCCTGAGGGTCCCACCCTGGTCTGCTGCCTGCCCACCCACTCCCGAAGGGACCATCCTGGCCACTCACAGGCCACCCACTGACCAGTGCCCCACCCACCTTCATGGTCCCTTTTGTGGGCCTCTAGGGTGGCTGCTGTTGGGAAGGTTTCACTGCACTGAGAGCACAGGTGGGTCCTGGGTACAGCTGAGGCCTCACCGGCCACCTGCTGGGGAACCACAGCACAACTCCAGTATCCACTGCAAGCTGGGCCCCAGCAGTACCAAGGACAGACCCACAGCACCCCACCCTCATAGGTTCCATCATGGACCCAGGGGAACACAGATCGGGGACCAAGTCACTGCAGAAAGTGACCACAGGAAGGCTAGCAGCCAGGCCGGTGTGTGATAAACAGCTTCATCTAAGGTACAGCCCCCAGGAACGAGCTCAACGGCAGCGCAGGTACCTACTGTCTCCACCTGCTCCACCTCCAGCAGCGGCAGTTCTGGGGGACCATCTCCCAGAGGCTGGGGACTGGATATGGTGGGAGGGACTGGCTCGAGGGCCCCCTCCTCCCCAGTGACCCGCTCAAGGACGATGCCAGAGTTCTGCATGGCCTGGTGCAGCAGGTTCTCCTGACTGTTGTCGCTGGAACAGGGAAGCTCCTTGGGAGCTGGGGGCTGCAGGGGAGGTGGAGGGAGGGAAGATGGCCAGGTGGCTTGGCACATGGCACCCACCCAAACCCACCACAAGGGCAGACCCAAGGGGCCAAAGGACCACTGTGTACAATCAATATATTCACTGAGGAATGCCCCTGGGAGCTCCACAGCCCACTCCACCTACCCCGGACTGCCCTGTCTTGCCCCACCCTGCCCTTTGGCAGCTATTGGTCTCCCACCTCCCCTGCAACCAGAACCAGGAAGATAGGCCCAAGTCAGTCCTATTCCCACCACAGCCAGTGCTCAGAACAGGGCCTGGCACTGAGAAGACAGAGGCCATCCTCCCAGAAGGCCCCCACCTCTGGGGCCAGGGCTTTCACGCCCAGAGGAAGCTCTTGCATCTGGACACGGACTTCGTGGATAACAGTGCCCTTGGCATCTGTCACCAAATGAATCACGGGCGACGTCTCCATGGTTTCACCTATCACCGATGATGACGTAATGGTCTCCACAGTGGAGGCGCCAGACCCTTTAAGGCAGAACCATGAAAGTCCTTGAAGAAACCCCCCTGACAAGGGCAGCTCCAGGGCCAGGACACGGAGCCCTCACCACGCTGACCTGCAGGTGGGTCCTCTTTGCCAACAACTACATCCTTGCTCATGCTGAATCGGATTTTTTCCGTGCATGGGGTGAGAGACTTGAGGTGCCGGGTCAGTGCACCTGACTCTCGGAAGCTCTTTCCACACTTGGCACATTTATAGGGGCGCTCATCTGTGGAATGGAGTCAGCTTTGGGTGGGGAAAGCAGGTCTGGAGCCATAGCCCCACCCCCCACCAGGAAGCAGGGGTGCCCAATGCATCAGGCCAGCTCACCTGTGTGCCGCCGGTGGTGCCGAATGAGCGAGCCCTTGGTCCGGAAGGAGGCCCCACACAGCTTGCACTCATGGTCCTTACGACTGCTGTGGGTGACCATGTGGGCCTTGAGGATGCTACCCTGGGGGGAAGGGGCAGCAAGGCTCAGGCACCTCCTTGCGCAGGAGGCCTGGCCCCCACTAGCTGGCACTGCCCAAGATCCGGGGCTCACCGTCTTGAAGGTCTTGTGACACAGTGTACACACGTAGCGGCCGTCCTCATTCACCAACAGCTTGACCTGGGCCTGCTCACCCTGCCCGGCCAGTTTGGGCCCTTGATGGTCAGGGCTGCCTGAGGCCTCTGCCATCTCACCGTCACCTGGATCTGCCTCAGCAGCTACAATGACCTCTTTGATGTGTCCACTGCCTAAAGAGAAGTGGGTCAGCCTGAGCGGGATGCCAGGGACCATACCACCTCCTGGGACCCTGGACCAGGAACACTGCTGGGATATGTTGAAGCTGCCTGGAGAAACTCCAGGCCCCCAGAATGTGTCCAGTGGGGAGACCATGGTGAGCAGATACCCCTCTCCCTTAAGCCAAGAGCATAGCACTAGATGTGCACAGGGGTCCTGCCGTTTCTAAGGGCAATGGAGTGCCCGGTACAGAAATAGTGGACAGGCCAACCCAGCTCACTCACTGCTTGCTAATACAACTCCCATTAGCATTAAGAAAATGCCTCCAGAGCTGCCTGCTGGCATCTGTTTCGAAGCACGCAAGCAAGGAACCCAGACTGGGAGTGAATGCTCATGAGACACCTGGGACAGCCT